AGGCAGAAAGAGCACTTTAGAATCCAATGTTCCCACCTACACCCCCTTAATCCCACACCCCACTTCCCATATTAAGAAAGGTTGACTCCTCATCACCATGACCTCCAGTGCTCAGTGTATTTGCACCAAATTGTTTGTGCATGCTTACAAATGTTAGGTGTTTGGGTGGGTGTGCGCGTGCATGTGTGCTTAAGTGTTTGTGTGCGCGTCTCATTGTGCTTGTTTGTGTACCTGCTCGGGGTGATAAGGGCCAGTGTGGAGCGTATCCTTTGTTCTGCCAGAATTACTCATTCCCCTGTGTCAGCATGGGTAAATTAAACCCTGCTTAATCCAAGGTTCGAGCCCAGATAGTTAAAACCTGAGCTTAGTGTCACTGGTGCTGATGTGTGGGTTTGTTCGTCATTGTCTTGGTGACTCAAAATGGATTGATGTGTTTTTTTCTGTCTCTCTCTCTCTCTCTCTGAGTCAGCTGCATGCGTTGATAAATATCTGAGTTAGTTATAATGTATGAAGAGTGTGAGTGTTTCAGCAAGCCTCTTATGTGATCATCAAGTATGTCAGTGTGTGTTTTGAAGTATTCACCTATGTTGTATGAAAACACACGCTCCTGCACACATACATTCCACTGTGTCGTGTGCTCATGTTAATTCAAGTAGCCATAACCAGTGTTTCTTTTCCTGTTGGCCATCTGAGTCACAGGCTGCAACTGAGGTGTGACACACAACTCTGTCTCTGCCTCTCTGCCTCCCCATGTCTCTCTCTCTTTCTTCCTCTATATTCTTCTATAGCTCTCTCCCCTTTTCTGTGTTGCTATCTTGGTTTGCTACCCATTAATTGTCTGTCTTCCTTCCTTTCTGTCTCTTCCTCTTCTGTGTTGTTCTGCCCTCCTCCTTCTTCCCCCTCTCTGGCTCGACTGCTTGTATTTGTCGACACCCTCCCTCCTCTCTTGTGGCTCCCTCCTCTCTCTCTCTCTCTCTCTCTCTCTCTCTCTCTCGCCCTCTCTCTCTCTCTCTCTCTTGCTCTCTCGCTTGCTGGTCTCGCTTACTGTCAAGCCAGCCACAGCAGCAACAGCGGTAGCGCCAGTAGCTCACTCTAGCCAGTTCTCAGTCACGGCGTAGGCTGCAGTTTGTGTGTGTGTGTTTCATGTGTTTGCGTGTGTTTACAATGTATGTATCAGCCAGTGATGCCTGCAGCACTCCAAAGAGCGAATATGCATGGAGTTACTCTAACTGAGGACTGGAGGAAGATATGTAGGAAGACCGTCCTGGAGCTAATTAAGAGGAAGAAGGAAGACATAACATCTCTTTTCTCTCTCTCTCTACTTTAGTTCAGTCTGTCTCTCTTTCTGTCAGCCTCTCCTGGTTTCTATAGTGCTTTTCTCTACTGGCTTACTCGTTTGCTGCTGCTAGGACTGTATGCAACATAACTGTAAGTGGACTTCCGTGTGTGTGTTGTTATAAACTGTATGTGTGTTTTGCGTGGGATCTCACTTAGTCAGTTTTAACTTACTGTGGCCATAATTTCTGTGCCAGAGTGCACACATTTGCATGTTGGTATAAATGGCATGTCATGACATCTCTAATGACTTAATTAGGCCAATTTGTAAAGCCCTATTTGTAGTGGCAGTGTATTCATGTAGACACTACTGACCTCCTTGGTATAAATCTGTTCATATTCATAAATGTTTGCCAGATGCATATTATTCAACGAGTGCCAAAACTGTCACTGCTGCCATTTATATGAAATGTCATTTGTTGGCGTAGCATCTGAATGAATGTCCTCTCCTCCAGGTATTCTCTGCTGCAGTGTGTGTGTGTGTGTGTGTGTGTGTGTGTGTGTGTGTGTGTGTGTGTGTGTGTGTGTGTGTGTGTGTGTGTGTGTGTGTGTGAGAGACAGATAGGGAGAGAGGGAATGATTGAGAGAGAGTTAGTGTGTCTATGTGTGTGTGTCACTCTGTCACCCAGGGCATTGAGAAAATCAATAGATCTACAGCTTGAGTTGGACCGTTTACCTCTGCCAAGTGATGGGCAGACACTGTGGCCTTCAAAGGTCCACAGACAAGTTGCCTGCAGATGTACAGTATGTCAGCCCTGCGTGCTCCTGCACAAGTGTCTTTCATTTTTGGTCCATGATTGATCTGTTGTGCATGCATGCGAGTGTGTGTGTGTGTTTGGATTAGGTATGTGTATTTTTCTCTGAGCTCATGTAAAAAGGTCTCGCCAGCAAGAAACTGTCACTTTTTTTTTTTTTTTTTTTTGAAAACTAGTGAAGGAGATCATAGATCAAAAGTTTCTCTTGTAGCTCGCGACGGGCATGGCCAATAGAACCAGTCAAGGGAATGAGCAAGAGCAGGCGGAAAGATAGATAGAAAAAAGAGAGAGCCTGAGCATGTGAGAAGGGAACAGAGCGAGACCATCATAATCAATCCTCCATGATCCTGGAAGAGCATCATTTATCTTCTTTTCTCACTCCACTCCTCCTCTTGCCCCCATCCTTCTCTCATTTTCTGTGGTATAGCCACTTTGATCTTGCGCAAGAAGACGGTCTCCAGAGCTTCATTACTTTTAAAGCCTTCATCGTGAGGGGCCATAAAAAGATGCTAAGGAATGGATTTTTAAGACCATTTACTAGACGTTCTGTACCGGCTTGCGAGTAATGGCTACATAGGGATATAATGTTCCTCCACGGTGTGTAATGGCCTTCTGTGCCTTGTGCTCTGGGTTATCAGGGCAAACTGGGATTGGTCATGATACGTCAGTGCCGAAGAATATGACGTTGTGCATATTAAGTGGTGCCTACTGGGGATCCTGGCTCTGTTTAATTCATAAGGACATGGCACTGTGCTGCATAAACCCTCTAACTGAATATGATTCTTGGGGTTGTGTGTCCTCAGTAAATTTGAACAGCTTTATAAACCTTTCACTGCGTTTCAATATTGTATATTGTTGTACTGACCTTGTGTTTTTTGGTCTCTTCCTCTTTCTTTTTCTCTGTGCACGCAAGGGAATGTGTTTGGGGCAGTGTTTTTGCTGTAACTGTAGGGATTCGTATGGGGTAGCAAGAAAATGCTCAGGGAGAAAATGATTGAGAGAAAAGGTCACTAGACAGGATGCCCTTTTTTTTATCTACAAGAGACTGCAGAGACCAAAAACAGTCAGTGGCAGTGCAGTGGTAGGAAGACGGAGGAAGCAAGATTAGAAACAAAAGTGTAGCCAAATAGCCAAACATTTAAAGAAGAGAGAAGAAAGAAAGAACATGTTAGTGTACCTAACTGTAAACAGCAATGTAAAATATTTTTTAGACAAAAGCTAATCTCATGTAGCTAAAACTCCAAGTCATGTCTGTGACGACTTCGTAATAGGAAATGCAACAGTCATGAGACCTGTGTTTCAGTGTGCTTGCTCTCATCAGTCATGGCCACTTAACCACAGCTGCAATAATGACCCCGGCTCTATCACACTGTTATGTTCTCATGCTCTTTACACTATCTCACAGCAGGGATGCACAGACTTTTTCTCCCCTGATATCTCAACTCAAGGTCTCTGACGATACTGATCCTGATTTTTCCGACTGTTCCCATTTACAATCTGAATAGCTCACTGTGTGGGACTCTATTAGGTTTCTTTTTAGGGAACATGAGTTCAGCGACTGCTGTAACACTAAAAATGAGTTGGGGGCCCTATGATGTAATTGTTAGGTGAATTTGATAATGATGCTGACAAGAAACTGTATGTGGGATTGTCATGTCATGACTACAGCAAAAATTAGTTTTTGATTAATTGTGATTAATAAATAAGTCAACAAGAAAAATATGATAATTTTAGTCATTTCTAAACCAAATGCGCCAAAAATGATCTGGTTTAAGCTTCTCGAATATGAAGATGTGTGATAGAAAGCTGAATATTAAAGCTGATTAACCTATAATTAAAAATAATTGTTACTTGCAGCTGTAGTTATGGCTCTATTCCCAGTCTGCTAGATAAGGTACTTGGGTCAATACTGATCTGGCGGACCATTGAATCCCATTTTCACAGGCTGACTTTGTTTGTGCTCTCTTCTCTATAAGTTGGAGAGTAAAAATGTTTATAGCATGTGGAAGCTTTCTGGTGTTTGCTTACAATACCTGAAACCCATTTGCATTCCTTATAAAGGCGAAGCCTTTCACAGCTATCCACAGGAACAGATTGCGGCAAGACCAAAAATTGCCTTGTTTCGTATTGTCACTTCACTGTTTGAAAAACTCTCAATAGCACTGTTGTAAACAAGACAAAATACAGCCAAAAAACCACTTAAGTTTGACAGATGAAAGGACTGGAAATTATACTTTATTATCTCAAAATCTCACATAAGATTGTGTAAACAGGCAGCAGATACTTTAATGAAGATCTTTTATTATCCAGAAAGATGAAATATGTGGAATCACCTCTGTACCTGTTTTTGTTAATTACCTACATTTTGTTTTAGCTTCGTTCAGTGCAGCCTGTGTCCTTGGCACGGTCTTAGCCCTCCCCTCCTACAGCACAAGTTAGCATGTTGATGATGTTACTTGCAGGTGCAGGACGTGTGTGTGTGTGTTCTATGAACGTGGATCATCTCTCTTTCTTACTGATGGGCTCGTCCCCTACCTCTCTCTCCATGACCCACTTCTGGTGTGCTGACACCCCCCTGTTCACATCATGCCTGCAGCAAACACATGTTGTCAGCGCAGTGAGACAGGGCAGAGAGAAGGTGAAAAAGAGACAGGAGGAGTGGATTGCACTTCCCTGTGACTCATGTCAACAAAATCACACATATTTGCCTTTTTAGATTACAGGGATTAAAATGATTTCTGACACATTATGTCTCTCGTACCTGTTTCTAACGCCTCCATGGTAGAATCAAAAAAATAAAAGACTTGTTCAGTAGTCTCTTATATTGTTTTGCTTTTTAACTGTTTACTTGCGGCTGAAATACTTTGCCTCATGTTAACCTGCTTTTGTTTTCTCTGTCTGGTTCTACAGAACAGCTTCCTGGGTAGTGCCACATTTTCAGTAGGTGATCTGCTGAGGGCTAAAGATGAACGACTGACCTTGAGTCTCAGGTAAGTGTGTAGTTTCTGTCATACTCTATTCATTGCTCTCTGTGTTGCTCCAGGCTAAATAAAATTCTGACTTCAGAGTCCAAAGATATCGTCTCTTCACACAAGAACTGACAGACCAACTTAAACATCAAACTGAGATGAGTTGGGAAAAGAAACCGATCCGCAGATGTTGCAACAGCAGTTTCAGGATTGTTGCAGTAGCTGCCAGGGTTGTTTGTATCAGGGATGCTGGGTTAGTATGTGAGAATACAGTACTCTGATCTGCTTTTTGTTTTGTTGTGGTAGATTGGTATGGGAATAAGTGTCTTCTCTGAGAGGTGGTTAGATGAAAGGAATGAAAAGGAACACCTGTGTCTTGTATAAAGAGGAGGGGGGAGGGGGGGGGGCAATAACATTTTATTTTTAAAGGATCATTTTAATATACTTTGGGATACACATGGAGCCAAAAATGGACCATCACGGTGTAATAAAGAGAAAAAAAGAAAACATTTTTTTAAAGGTTTTGGCTGTATAAAGGTCAAGAGCATGGATGTGTGTGCTTTTAGTCAGTAATTACTTGATAAAAATCAGCCAACAGAGAAAAAGGAAAAGTTTGACCCTTACTTTCAGAAAGCAGATGTGCAAATTATTTCACAGACTTGCTCAAAGACAGGACTGTGAGGATATAATCAGCAGTTTTACCACAGAGACTGGTGGTTTCCCTTTTGGAGGATGCATCGACATGTCACAACAACAGATAAGTTGTGTTACTGAACATGATTAATGGTGTGTACTTCTTATGAAGTACGCTTGACACGGTTGCTAAGTAGTACAATGCGGCCCAAGGCATTATGTTTTCAGATTGTCTGTTTGTCCGTCCATCCCATTCTCGTGAACGATATCTCAGAAACGCCTTGAGGGAACTTCGTCAAATTTGGCAATAACATTCACTTGAACTCAAGAATGACCTTAAAAGAATTTATTGGTCAAAGGTCAAGGTCACTGTGACCTCAAAAACACGTTTTTGGCCACAATTCAAACACAAGTAGAATAAAATGAAGTGATGACATTTTATATCCACTTCAGTGTGACATCATAATGTTCTGCAAAACACCTCCGGCTATTATTCAACACTGTAACTCTGGAAGGGGAGATTGTGATCATAGTTCCTGCAACCTGGCTGTTTGGCGGAGGCATACAACCACCAGTTCTATAAAATCCTTTTTTTTAATTTTTTTATTTTTATAAATAACCAATTAAAAACAACAACTTAGTCTCTTAGTTATCTTAGTCATCACTGGAAGCAGCAACCCCAACTTAATCCATATGTCACTGAGTTGAAAGAATAATTGAACACACCCTGAAAATATTGTTTCTGTCAACCTTCACCTGTTTAACTTCTCACCTTGCTGTGGTGATGCACAGGTGTACTGCAAGACCCTGTGACATCACAGGTGGATGTCGTTACAGGTGCACCCATTGTCGATGTCAGGTGTGCTCAGAGGTGAAACAGACTTGAAACTGTCAATCAGAGAGACACTGCTTTTCTGTCATTACTCTCAAAGCTATTTGTGCGGCTGTTACAAATCACTGTTACTGCTGTTAACAGCAACGTGCGCAGCTGCAGCATTTTAAGCTGATTCATGGAGTATTACTCAATAGATGCTCAACAACACCACACATTTTAAGATATACTGTACATCATCTAATCAGCCCTATGTCTTAGCTCCATTAACTGTCATCCCACTGGGGTATTTTTCTCTGCTGTGCCCAGTATGAGATGACTTCTGTTTGGACACCAAAACCTGCCCTGAACAAAAGACATTATACTCAGGTCAGTTGTATTAGTCATTATGGTGATGAGAATGTTTCTGACTGAATCAGTAAGTATCATCCGGCCATTGGGGACAGAAGGCAGAATATTCTTACTTGTGACCCAAAGGGATGGTTTTGTCACAGGCACAGTAACTACACATGGCGGTCTTGATTGAATAGAGTGTTGCAGAGGCTACATGGAGAGGGGTGAAGGTTTACCATGGGGACCAGTGACTAGATTCTATTTGCTGGATCGTGGGTCATCTTGTAAAAGTCCATGCTAGTGAGTGTTGCATGTGTGCATTTGCTAGTGTGTGTGTGTGTGTGTGTGTGTGTGTGTGTGTGTGTGTGTGTGCAGAAATACTGTACAGACACGTGTATTTGGTTTTTCTTTAGATTATAGTTCCAAACCCCTTCCTTTCTATGTCTGTGGTTTAAGCTTTTCAATTTGCCTTTGTCAGTCAGAAAAATATTAAATATGCAGAACGCCTTATGGCTTTTTAGGTGGGTACTGCATGCGATTCAATGGTCAGGATTTTCTTCTTCCACCTGTAAACTGTTAAGATGAAATTGTGTCTGTCGTTGCTATTTGTATGTCAGACCGAATTTCCTTTTTCCTTCACAGTCATAGTTGTCCGGAAAATATGCCCCTATGGCAGTCCTCTCTCTTTTTCCCTTTGTTTTAGCTCTCTTTTGTTATGCTTTTCATTTCCTGTAGGTGATCCCAGGTCACTGGGTATAATTGTATCTTGCACGAATGACTATACGAGCTGCGGTGAGAATAGAGATTACAGCCCCCGCCTTGTGTGTTTGCACATATGTGTACGTGCATGTACATTTTTGTACAGGTGTTGTTCTGGCTATTGAACACAATTGTCATTTTACTCCCCTGTAGTCACACTGCACTTTTGTGTTTCTGGGTCATTGTGTTGTTTGGTAGTGTATTTGTTATTCCTGAAGATAACATGACGTCATCCCATGATACTTAAAGGTGCTTCCACAATGCTTTTTAATAGGAGAAAAGTTTCCTTCAATATCTGGATGTTGCTGTTACTATATTATCTTTATCACTATTACTATAGCTTTTTCCACCTACACATACTAGATAGGAGATGACTTACAGGATAAGCAAGCATAAAAAAGACTTTCCACGAAACTTTGCTTTTTTTCTTGAGACTTACTGGTTAATTTAACCTCTTCAGGCCTATAAAAAATATTCAAATAAAACAACCAATGACTAGCAGCTGAAAGTACATATTGCTTTGTTTTGAGCGGTCAAAAGGCTGGAAAATCCTGCTTTAGAGGTTATTAAATATGAAGGAATGAGCTGTGTAGGTTTTTGGGCACACCAACAGAAGCACGTCATGTGACTTTGTAATACAATGATATGGTGCTATTTTACAATGAAAGATTATCCAAGCATAGGTTTTTCTTTTAAAGTAGTTTAAAGGATCACAGGGAACCACCTGTACTGTGCTGAATAATGACCGGTAACATATTTAAAGTCTTTATATAAACTCACACTCCATTATTATGGCCTGAGGAGCTGTTTCAAGTGCTGTGTTGGAGCTTGAATGTGTTACACCGACAGTCAGCGATGCATGTGTAACACATACAGACACACAGAGGAGACTGTCTTGATTCGATTTGTTGTTTGCTTGTTGGTTCATCCAGTGAGAAAACATTTCAAAGATGAGCAGCTTTTTCATGAGCATGTATGATTCATTCTGGGATGTTTGACCTGTGCCTGAGCCTATGATTCACAGTTCAAATTAGTTCTGCTGGCCAAGCAGCTCAGAAGCAGCAGCACTGACATGGACAGGAGTGCAACTCATTCTGCCCTCTAAGGAACAGATGCTTCATTTTAATACAATGTTCTAATCCCCAGCCAGTCAGTTAATTTGAGCTGACTTCACTCAGCGGAGGGAAAGTGGGACTACTTTATCTCCACGAGGCAAGGATTGATTCCCCTCAGTGAATCTCAAAACCAATATGACTTTGACCAACTTCTTTTCATAAGCTCTGGATTTACATTGGTGCTGAGCATATGTAGAAAGAAAATTGGTATTTGACCAGCGCCAGTGTGTGCATGTGACTTTTGCTTTCACTTTGGCCCCTCAGTAAAGTTCACTCTGCTACAGGGCTGAACACCTCAAAGCTCATTCCTTATTCCTATGAATTCACTCTGCATTTCAGCTTCCCTCCCAGGTCTCACACCCTCTTTCATGTGTGGCTGGTTTGAATGTTTGTCACGGATTGTTTTTGTTTCCTGTAAGGCAAGACTGGTTTGATTTGGGTCACTTTTTTGAAGGTTCCTGACAGTGTCGTGTTGAATGAGTGGGAGTGGTGGATACATTGACTCAGTTCTTGTGAAGATCTGTTTCTTTTGTGGGCAGCAGAAGCCATTGAAGTGATGATGAGAAAATCTTGCCTTCCTGCAGCTCTCACACAACCAAACAGCACACGAGGTGCTCCAGACACTCACCAGCATACAAACAGACACAGCACAGACACACACATTCCTTTATAAAACACAGACACAAACTTACAACAGAAAAAAAAGCATAGAAGGGAGAATTGAGTTGCCTCTTTGAAGTCTGGACCTTTCTTAATCAAAGAGAAAACATCTGATTTAAAGGGAATTATTGATGATATGTTTGGTCAGCACACAAATTCAGCCTTAGTTTGCCTGATGGTAAACCACCTGCAAAATATGTCTGAAAAAACAATCACAAAAACTACATGTTGAATGTCCTGTTTATAGGCTACTGTCTCTGTGAATTTGTTAGCAAAGATGGGAATAAATTCAATCAAGAGTGAAAGCTGGAAGCCAAATGGAAGGAATTTATCACGACTTGTGTGAAAGGATCTGAGTTCTGAACAGAAGATACAGTAAGCAAGGTCACTGTGTCATCTGAGGACAGGTTTGAGATAGCTGCCATGATAGTGAGGATATGTACATCTGTATGCAGATGAGTGTACATGTCTGCATGGCTACATGTTTGTGCATTTGTGTAAGATATAGTTGTGTCAGAGCAGTAGGTCCTGAGGGTTCTCTTGCCTGGAGTTATATGCCTATAGACTCAGTTACAACCTCTGCGTATACCGCAGCCTTTAACACAAGATTATACACAATACATATATTTTTTCAGGGCCACTTAGGTGCTGCAGAACAAGCTTTAACACAATATACCATTATACAGTTT